ATCTTTAAAAAAGAAAGTAAAGGCAGATGAACTGAAGAGGACAGAGCAGGCAATGCAGAGCAAGGACATGCCTGTACCAAATTGTTTCCCCTCTTCTGCTGCTGCAGTTACAGCAACGGGAGCAAAGACCCCCTAACAAAGGTGCTGGAGAAGAGGACAAGAAAGGACCTGGTAAGATAGGGTCTTTCTGTGCTTTGGAAGCATTTTTTTTCAAATCACAAGAAATTAAAGTTTGAAGTTTCTAGAAGCAACTCACTATTAGTGTGGAAAGGGTAGTGTTCAAATTGGTCAGACCTATAATGTAGTGGTTAAAGGATCCAGATCCCACGTGGCCAACCATGCTTCAAGTCCTGGACTCAACAGCTTGAAAAACATGATGGGTAAGTGTTTCCATGCCCAAAGTCCCAACAGAATGGAGAGAAAGAGAGAAGGAACTGCTGCATGGCCATGTGCCACTGGGAGGCACTTTCTCTATCTGTCTCTTTCTCTGTCTCTCTCTCTCTCTCTGTCTCTCCCTGATGAGTGCACATGCTCTATGGCAATTAAAAAAGATGAAAGATTCTAGAATCAGTTCACTATGGATGCGGAAAGGGGAGAAATCACACTGTGGTTGTCTATATTTGCTTATTCAAAAATATGCAAGCCACATTAAAATTACAAATCATACTTTATTTTAGGTTTTGCTATAGGGTGCGTGTGCTTACTGGAGAGAGACAGAGAAAGGGAAAGTGAGAAATCATCCCCCTGAGAGGTTGGCCATGCAACAATCCCTTCTTCTCCATTCTCCTCTTGGTATTTTTGGCATGCATGCACACATACCTGGAGTGATTTTTCAAGCTAATGGGTGTGGGACTCAGACTGCAGTTGGCCATGTGGAAGTCCAGTGCCTTAACCACCACATCACCTGCTGACCCCCCAAATCATATTTTAAATGTTAGTGTAATAAATGCCTCAAATTTATTCATAGTATCACTAATAGTCTAATATACAATTGAAAGATCTTAGTCTATATCCTTATCTTTACACTCAGGCTGATATAGTTGTTCTAGAAACCATAACAATTATGATTTCTATGCACAAGATTCAATGTAACACTTCCACAAATAAGAATGAACAGACCTAGAAGTGTTTTAGCATCACTTTGATGATACATTAGGCCAACTAGTTTAATAAAAAAAATTTTTTTGGGAGTAGTTTTTGCTATCAGGTGTTTGTGCTCACCAGAAAGATAGAGAGAGATAGAGAGACAGAAAGCGAGAAATCACTCCCCAGAAGGGGTGGCCACACCACAGTCCCTTCTCCTCCATTGTCCTCTCAGAATCTTGGGCATGCACACACACACACCCGGTATGAGTTTAAGCCAACAGGTCCTGGACTCGAACTGTGGTCAACTACGTGGGAGTCCAGTGACATAGCCATTAAACTAACTGCTGGTCCCCCAAAATTTCAATAATGATAATTTATTATTAGACCAGCAGATGGCATGGAGGTTAAAGTGCTGAATCCTATATGGTCCATTGCACGATTAGAGAACTAGACCCCAGAGCTTCAAAATCATACTGGTCGTGTGTGGGTGTGTGCCCAAACTTCAGAGAAGAGAAAGGAAAAAGAATTGCAGTGTGACCAACCCCCCTGGGGAGGGATATTTCTCACTTTCCCTCTTTCTCCAGTGAGCACACACATCCTATAGCAAACTGAAAAACAATAATAATAATAATTTATACTTTCTTGCTAATGTGCTCTTTTTAAAAACTACATTTTAAATTAAAACACTGTATAGATTCTCTTATTTCAGCTCAACAGCAAAAAGAATAAAAATTTGAAAATATTTTGTAGTACGGGACAGGCAGTTGGTGCGGTGGTTACGACACTGGACTCCCATATGGTTTTGGTTCATATCTTGTACCTGGCAGCTTGTTTTCCCACTTTCCTTCTCTCTCTCTGATGAGCACTCATGCCCTGTAGCAAATTAAAATAATAATAATAATAATAATAATAATAAATACAATTAAATAAATAATTATTTTTAAAATTAACATGCAAAAGCCACGTCCATAGAAATAGTCATGGCCATTATTGCCTTTTTCCCTATGGGTCCACATGTTTATGTCAGCATCTCTGCATGACATCAATACTTAGAAGGTAAACCACTTGTAAAAGGGGAGGCATCATTGCTCTCTACCTACTCATTATTCATTCATCTATTAACATTTATTATGCACCTTCTACATAGCAGAAATTATGCGAAATTCTGGGCTAATGAAAAAAAGATATATTCCCTGTTTTCAAATAGTTCACAGTTTTTTTCAAGGAAATGACAAGCTGACAGACTAATATTTGAGCCAAGATATACCTATGCACAGCCTAGGGTATGGCAAGGGGAGGGCGAAGCTAGGATCAGAAAAGCCTTGGCAGCTTGAGCAAGGCATTGAAGGTTAAATTCAAACTAGACAGGTGGAAAACTAGAGAAGGGGTTTCAGGCAAAGGGATAATCTGTGCCAAGAGTTAGAGGTGTGAGAAACTGCAGGCAGAGAAAGAGAAGAGCCTTGTATTTCAGACAAAAGAGACTGGGTCTGTAGCCAAGGGTGATGGGGAGCCCCTGAGGGAGAGTGACACTCTCAGATTTACACTTTAGAAAGCTGTCTCTTGTGGTTCATGTGGGATACGATAAAGAAACACAAAACGTGACACAGTAAGGATTGATGTTAAAAGCCAGTTATGACCATGCCCTGGAAAGCTCTGAGTTTCTTCAGAGTCTCATCATTTCCACCACCATCAGCATCACTGCCACAGTATTAGAAGCACCACTAATAGATTGTCATTTGAGGTACCCTTAATACCCATTTTACAGCTGGAAAGTGGGTAGGAGACAGAGTCATCAGCAGAGTTAAGACTGAAACCTAAGAGTTTGGTACGAGCACTTCATACTCAGCTGTGTCTCCACACCATTGCCCATGATTTATTAAATCCAAGCTGTGGTCAAGAGGCAGCTTTGGTGAGGAATCTACCACAAGGAGAACATAAAGCATTCAGGACTAGGTAGAGAGAGACTGTGACCACTTCTTTTAGTTATCTTGCAACCTCAAAAATAATGTATTCTCCAACCATATATACATAATTGAAACAAGAGGGGATAAGTATTCAAAAATACATGGAATGGGAACCAGCAGTTAGCGTAATGGCTATGTCGCTGGACTCCCACGTAGTCGACCGCGGTTTGTGTCCCGGACCCGGTGGCTTAAAACTCACGCCGGGTGCGTGTGCATGCGTGCCCAAGATCCCGAGAGGAGAATGGAGGAGAAGGGATTGCGGCATGGCCATCCCCCCTGGGGGGTGATTTCTCGCTTTCTGTCTCTATGTCTCTCTCTGTCTGGCAAGCGCACGCGCCCTACAGTGAAAATCTCTCCAAAAAAAAAAAAAATACATGGAATAAGAAAATGTTTTCTGAACAGTTAGTGTTCTCTGATGGAAGAGTAAAAACATCATGCTTTAACTAGAAACCTAATTTAGATTTCATCCAAAAGAGAAAAAAAGTCAAAAGTAATCAGTTTCTCTTTTTGTTCATGTGCTTTTGAACTATTATTTTGTTTTAATGGTAGCAGGACTTTTATTTCTGATAGTTGTGTGGATTTATGATTGCAACTTGTTCTCTTTGACTAACTCATTCCCTATGAAAAGAATATTATATTCTTTTTATTGTAGATATGTTTTATTTTCAAAATATTGATTATTAAACTTAGTATTTTATTATTTGAAAATATATAAAAATAGTTTTACATATTAAACATTTTACGTTATATGACAGTTTCCAGATCTGCTCATCTAAGCAAGAACTTCATTATTTCTGGCAAGAATTCAGAGAGAGTCCCCGTAACTCGAAATTTGCATATTACTTTTGTTCAGAAAAAAAGAATTTAAAATCCTGCCAAAAATAATAGAAATGCTTATGATTCCAAATTGACCGTAAGTACACCAATGTATATAATGAAGAAGAATCTACTTTGCAGTTTCAAATAGACTTAATATTTTGAGATTTAACCATGTGTACAGAGGTAAGACTTACTACTCCAGAGAGTTTAAAGTTTACTTTTTGTTATAATGCCCTTTCTATGTAATAATTACTCTTTTCATGTTAAAAAAAAAACTGAGTTTAATGAGAATCCAAGAACAGAGTAAATAATGTTCATTTTAGTCTTGAAATAAACCAGTTTTCTTTTTTAGAAAACTAAAGAATAAAAAAAAAAATTCATGAACCAAAAGTCCTAAATAATCAGGTTAACACAGATACTTCCTATCTCTACCACACAATTCCCATCCACCTTAAATTTATGTTGGTAAAATACCAATTTAAATTTTGTTTTCCAAATTATTTTGAAGCTAAGGGGATGCTTTATGTGCAGGAATAGACTGCAAGCCCTTAGAGAGTAGTGATCATCTCTTTCACTCATCATATGCTTAGCCTAATGTGCCCTCCACTAGGACACTCTACACGAAACATCAGTCGAATGAACAAGTGGATGAGGAAGGAATACAATAGTGACATGAAGTAGAATTTAAATACTATCCCAATAACTTAGGCAAAACTGTTCATTTGTAGGAGAAGAAGGAATAATCAAAAACCTGGGTTATTAAAAGTAATTGTCCACTCGAATTGAATTCACAGAATGACTTGACTTCAATTCCCAGGAAAATTTCTCTCCAATTACAGACACAATAATCTGCCATGGGCACAGAGCCACCATGAACACCGGATCACTCTGATCGTAGAGACTTATCACTGTGTTATTTGACTTTGTATTCCTTCCCAGCAGATAAGATTATTCTTTGCTCCTGTGTAAAAGTTATATTTCATCTCTGCTTTTTTTTTTCATTTCCAATGTCTCTATTTTGATTAAGACAAAATAAAATTGAATTAAAGAATATTTTCATCCTAGTTATAACTAATTTTTTTATCAACATTAAAGGTTTAAAAACATTTGTTAAATTGGCAGGACACATACCTTCTCGTGTGTTTACTTTCTTGCATTTAAGGAGACCACTTTCTTTCTCTCTGACTTAAAAAACATCCTGAAAAAAATGCATAATGTTTATCTAGTAGTCAAGATAATAATTCTGTGATCATTTTATTCTACTTTGGAACTGAAATTTTTTTCTTATTGAAAAAATAAGTAAAATAAATCACCAACCAAAGGAAATGGGAATAGTTATAGATAAAAAAAATAGTACTCTGTAGGAATATAGGCTATAAAATGAGCTAGGCTCTCTTTAGAATCTTAAAATTACAGTATCTTTCCCTGACAAGAGTCTAAGAACTTTACAATATATGTGTCCTTACTATTAACTCTTGTAATTTTCATGGTTTTATGGTTTTTAATTATTTCACAGCATGGCATGAACAATTCTCTAGAGGCAAGTACTCATGAGTTTATCTTGATTACTTTTTAAGTAGCATTTATTTTGAAGAAATAAGTGAAAATAGCACTTCAGTACATTTCATCTAACTAATGTCTCTAAACTCCAAAGATTCATGTTTTTTTCTTTTTTTAAAAAAAAAGACATTACACTAATGCTCAAGTATTCTTGATCATTGCAATTTCACTCATCAACTTCAACATTCATGTTGTAATTAGTGCCCTCGGTATGAAAAGTTTAATAAAGTACTATCTTTGAATGATGAAAATTTTTGAGTTCAAGTTGAACTTACCTTAAAAGGGGCTTGTTTTCACAAATTCTTTTTAATAAAACCTCAGTTCTCTGGTCAAATACAATCCCCAAGACGTCCCTCTCTTCTCTTCCTCTTCCTTGAGTACTAGTGGGTTGATGGTTTCCTCTCAGTCTGTGATAAGCACCGCGAAGACTCAGAGTTTGTCCTCACTCCTGATGCCACACACCTTTTCTTGGCACTTTATCTGATCCCAAGGGAAAATTCCTGCAGAAATTTCTTTCTCCATAATCTCTTGACAGATGGCTTTGCTGGCAAGAGCCTTAACTCTTAGGAGGGCCTTAATAGGCTTTTATTTTCCCGCATTGCCTTCTCACAGGTTTTATTTTTTAATTGCACATTGGTGGATGCCTCATGTTATAATGGGCAAGAGTATCATTGCTCCCTTGTAGTATTATCAGCTAATCTGCTTCTCTGTTTGTTTGTTTGTTTTTATTTCTATAAATTTGCAAAGCTAGTTTCCTTTTAATGTTTTATTATTTGCCTGCTACTATTCTCAGAGGCAATTGGAAGAAAAGTTTAATTATTTAGTTTAAGGCACAAACTAAATAAATATTGAACTGTTCAAATATAAATAATAACTCTTAATAAAGACCTTAGGAAGAGCATTAGCCAAAGAAGCTGTGTAGAGCAAATGTGAATGAGAAGGACCAAGTTTACTTTAAAATAATAAAGAAAATTAATTTCATGAGGAAAACAATGAGAGTTCATCTTATCTGAATGTTTTACTTCCTTAGTGTTAATCTATCTAATATTTACTTTTTTCTAATTACATGATGCATGGCAAGTGCAGAAAAGAATTTTTTAAAACTCTCCTTATTCCACTCCCAGTAAAATGTCAGCCTATAATCTTCTAGAATGTGTCTATAGATACACATACACATATGTTGATACATATGTACAATTTTACACATTTCTACTTTTGTATCATAGATTTTATATATATATACACACACACTTACCTTTATTTATAAAAATAGTATAGTACATATAATTTGATAGCCAAATTTTCCCTCAATACTAAATATATAATCAACTTTTCTCCATAACAATAAATAATCTCCACAATATGATTTTTAATAGATACATATTTCCCATTGTTTAGCAATAATATAATTGACCTGGCCAATCCCCTCTTACCAGGTCAATTTTTCCAACTTTCTTATGCTATGAAGCATCTATAATTGACAACCATTCACTAGTTTTGTTCACATCTACTTTCTCATCATGTCAAAATATATTTCCCTTCCAAAAAGTGCCAATTTACAAGTCTACAACAGTAATAAATTAATGTATTTCCCTGTATTCTCAACAGAATGGGGCATAATAATTTTAATATTAATATTAACATTAAATATTTAATCTATATAATTTATTATAATTTAATATTAATATCACTCTAATTTTTTAGGTGAAGAATAGATTATGCAGTATTTTAAACATTATAAAGTCAATCTTATTTTCACATATATTAGATGAAATTTTATGTACCCAAGTTGAATAGTAATTATTTTTTCTTCCAAAATCTGTTTCTTCCATGGTGGGGGCAGTTCCTAAAACAAGACCCTGACAGCATGATATACCCCAACTTCAGTCAGTCAGGATCAAGATCATGGGTACACACTCCTGCCCAACATGAACAGATCAACCTTGGGACACAACCCTGGGATCTTCCCGCGTGGCCTCAGCATCGTGGCGCATAGTGCCATCACTGTGCCACTGCATCTTGCTGATAGGCAATTGTCCTTAATATTTTCTCTCTTGAGCCACTGTCAGGACTTCTCAGAGTCAGCAAAGTATAGCAAGCAGCATGGGAGACACCTAGAGAAACCAGTGGCTTGTCAGTGGAAGTGGAAGCACCTGGACACCAGTTGGCAGCTCTGGGCTTTTCCTTTTTAAGGCACATGGTACTTGGTGGGCTGATCAGACACTTTATGCATTGGTATCAAGATGGGAACGCAGAAAGATTTGTCGGCTGGTAAACTCTTTTCAAGAAGTGTACTTTTAAAATCAGTGGCTGATTAGGACCAACAGTTGACGTAATGGCTGGCTACGTTGCTGGACTCTCATGTAGTCGACCGTAGTTTCGAGTCCTGGACCCGGTAGCTTAAACTCACACGTGGTGTGTGTGCCTGTGTGTCCAAGATCCCAAGAGGAGAATGGAGAAGAAGGGATTGCTGTGTGGCCACCACCCTTGGGGGGTGATTTCTTGCTTTTTGTCTCTCTGTCTCTATCTTTCTGGCAAGCACAGGCATCCTATAGCAAAAAATAAATTAAACTCTCAAAAAAAAAATAGTGGCTGATTATGACTTGCATGTAACTAGGAAGAGAAATGAGACTACTATCCATTGTAGCTGTCCTCCTCCGTAAAGTGATACGAGTGATACTCTGGGTGACAATGCCCTTCCGGAGGACAGGAGTTGGAAAGGATGTATTTCACTCTGTTGCTGCCACATGCAAGTTCATTTGTAATCATACTAGGGAGCTAATCAACCTGAGAGAACTCAATCTTCCCTTTGTGTGCAGTAATTCCTCGTGGTGAGCACAGAATTCACTGAGTAACATTGGGCAAGAAACCTCCTGTACGTCAGTTTGCCATTTGTGAGATGGGAATGATAATTGTAGTACTTGCTTGACACTTATTATTGTAAACATTGCGTGTAAATTACTTAAAGATTGCCGGGAATGAATAAGACCTATATAATTTTTGTTATGATATCAAATATGTTTTTCTCTAGTTTCAAAAACCTGACCATGTTATAACAATTTATATATTTGATGTAACACCCCAAAAGATGACATTCTTGGGATTCAGGTTCATTTTACTTCATTGTTTTAGATCACAAAAAGTAGCATATTGTCTGAAAAACATTAGTTCCAAAGTGAGCATTTCTTTAATGTTATATGGATGAGCATATGATTTATAATGGAAGAACAAATGAATACATTTTTAGGCAAATCAAGTGGAATCTTTTTCTGTCATAGTTCCTCTTTATAGGTTCTAGCTCTAGTTTCTAACTTCATTCTCTAGTTTATTAAACAGTCTTTGATGAATATATTCCCTCGAATTAAATTGTAACCAACAAAGCTTATACCTAAAGTCAATAAAATATGTACTGAAGCCCAACAAGGCGCTCAGTGTTTTCCTTGTTGAAGACACGTTGTCACAGAGGACCCATAGCATGATAACAAAACTGTAACGAGAACAGGCAACATATTGGTCTTCAGCCTCTAGGGAATAAATTTAGTTTTGTGTAGAAGATTATGATTTATCTTCTGAAGAAGAGCGTTATCAACATGTAATAATATGAACTAAAACAACTACTTTTAAAATAGATATATGTATGAAGGTAGAACCCTCTGACCCAAACGATTTAGCTGTTATGCTTCAGAGAACTGTGAAAATGCCAAAAGCTAAGAGAATTCTAGCGTGTAATCCAAATTAATTGCAGAGAGCTTTATAAAGTTTAAGATTTTTTAAATCCTTGAAGTTTCAAGGTTTTTCTTGTTGTCTCCTTTTTTTGTCTAAGTGAGTACAGTTTATACCCCATATTGTTCTAACTTACTGCATAGGTGTTATTAATGTGAAAAACCGCCTATTCTGCTGTAGTTCTGAAAAAAGGACAAATACTCTCTCAGCAATGAATATTCACAAAGTTTGTCCCATCCTCAAATGGAAATAAATTTTGAAAATTCTGTCTTCCTATAAGGCAGTGAAAATTCAATGTAATGAGATCTTCACTGCAGAAAGTTTATAGTGATGCTCCTGAATGTAACTGAATGTTAAATATATAGGGAAAAACAACTTACTTTCCATATGGTCATTGTTTGTCTTGTACACCAATCAAGGCTAAGGCAAAGATTTTAGCTAGATAGTCTTTAAACACAGTTTTAAAAACTTGTGGGAAGAAATGAATAAGTTGTTACCTGGGATGGTTTATATACCTCCAAGTATGCCATTCTCTGTCATTTCCTTCATATTTGAAAAGATGTTGGTTTCGATTCAATCTTCAGTTAGATGTCAGACAAAGGACATTTTCTTGTTGATATTTAAATGGAATTAGAGAATTAAAATATTTTAAATCAATTTTAATTAAATACCACAGTCCTAATTTAATCAGTATAAAATTGAGAGAGCTGTTATATCTGTTCTAAAAATCCAAATTGAGAATTTAGATCTTTGAAGAGGACTAAGAACTCACCTGGTCCAATTTTCTCACCTCTACTGATAAGGAAAAAGGGTGAAAACCAAACTTATTAAGTGATTTGACCAAAATTACAGTTTATAACTGGTACAACCAGAACTCAACCCAAGGTCAATGTATTTTTTATTTTATTTATTTATTTTTTAAAATTTGTCAGAGGGTACATGCACTAGCTGAGGGTGGAGAAGAGAGAGTGAGAAAGTATATCTATGGGGAATGATTATGCCACAATTTCCTCTCCACCATCTCTCCCTCGTTTTAGGGTTTTGGGCATGCATGCACATGCTCCCCATGTTATTCAAGCCACCGGTTCCAGGACTCCAGCTGCTCAATAAACCATCTGGGATCTAGTCACCTTCACCACTGGCCATGGGCTAGCCATTGTCTTTAAAAAACAAACAAATTAACAAAAAAACCCCTTCTTTTTATAGAATATGGTATGCTTTGATTTATGAAGAATTGAGAAGCTCAGTTAATAAAGATCTAGAATTGACCTGGACACAGTATTTCACTAGGAACCACATTTTCACCAGTATTTTATTATGGAAAATCACATGCCACTTCAATACACTCTATGGGTCCACCTTCCACATTGTATAAACTGGAAAGAGATGATTTACTTTGAATTGACAATAAATGAGCAGTGAGTACATCACTGCCCCAGACTAATAGCTAACTATATATTAAAGTAAAGTAGGGACCAGTAATTGTTGTAATGGTTACATTGCTGGGATGCCTATGTAGTCGACCGCATTTTGATTTCCTAGGCCAGTGGCTTAAAACCCATGTTGGGCGTGTGTGCGTGTGTGCCCAAGAATTGTGAGCAGAATGGAGAAGACAGAATTGCAGCATGGCCATCCCCCATGGCGGGGGGTGGGGGTGGGGGCGGTGATTT